GCCGGGCCTGTGTGCAGGTGCGGGTGGCTGGCCAGGGCCACCTTCAACACGCGGGAATGTTACTGCAGCAGCCATCCCGCCGCTCACGCGAGGGTTTGGCTGGAGGGGGCCTTCGTGTTGCACGGCAGGACCCCGAGCATGAGCCCGTGTGGAGGGAGTGCCGGGGCCTCCCTCAGACCCCGGGCATGAAAGTCTGCTTAGTGCCTGTCTATGGCTCTGAGCCCCAGTCCCCATGGGTGCTTCCCAAGCTCTCCCCCATCCTGTGGTGGAGCAGGGGGTGCAGACTCCAAGAGGCTCCTGCTTGCTTTTTGCTTGGGGATACCTTAGCCTGGGCACGGGCTGGCAGCAGTGAGGGGGATGGTGCACGGAGCTTCTTAGTAGAGATCCTATCTGTGCTCTCACAGAAACAGGTTTGTGATGATATCAGCAGACGCCTTGCTGTGCTTCAAGATATGTGGGCCCAGGGGAAGCTGTCTTCCCCTGTGAAGAAGAGAATGGCCATCCTGGTGCAAGGTGAGCCTGGGGACGGTGACCTTTGGTGATGGGGCTACAGGTTGAATCTAAGGAGGGGTGTGCTGTAGCCACCACTGCCTTTTGCGTACTGCTTCCCAGGCTCCCCACCTTTGCACGTGGTCCCTTGTCACAGAAGTCATTGGTGACACGTAGGGGGTGCTGAGATCACCTGTGCATTCCCTGGAAGCAACAGCCACAAAACTGGAAGTGACACTGGAAGATATCCCCCCCGTCCTGGCAATGGGCTGCTGGGGGAACCCCCCTCCCCTCCCGACTCTGGAGGCACCAGTTGCCCATGGGTGAAGTGCTGTCCTGCTGCCCCTCATCTTGCATCTCAGTCAGTTGCTGTTATTCCCATCTCCACCCCTGTCCATTCAGAGGTGGCAGGCAGCTATGTCCCTCACCTGATTTGCACCCCTGTAGTTCTGGGCATGTGACTCTTCTACTAGGCCCAGCCATGCTGTGGGGACTGGGGGAAAGCATTGTTCCTTACTGGGGGATGGATCCTTTCTTGCAGCCAAGAGGCTTGGGGTGCTCACTGGCACTCTCCTTTTATTCTAGAGCTGCAGAAGAAGAACTGGGACTCCGCAGATGAAATCCATCGCTCGCTTATGGTGGACCATGTCAATGAAGTCAGTCAGTGGATGGTGGGAGTTAAACGCTTAATTGCTGAGACAAGGGACTTGCCCCCTGGAGCTGTGGCTGCAGACACTGAAGAAATATCTGGAGCTCAGCCAGGTGGAGAAGCCTAGTGAGATGGGCTAAGCCATGAGGACTTCAGCTGCACCTGGGCAAACTACACCTTGAGGTATTGGGAACACTATAGAGCACTAATGGAAGAAGGATGAGATTCCTCCATCTCCCTCTGCTGCTCCAAGGACCTGATCCAGGACATATTCTCCAAGGGGCGCTTTTTAATTACCAGTTCATCTTGTGGCAATGTGCTGCACACTATTTAATAGTAATAAAAAATGTCACTCCTCTATGTCCAAGCCTCTGAGTTAACTCAAAAGCCCAGTGCTGAGGGAGCCCCTGCAGTCAGTAGGCTCCATGGTACAAGATGAGGGAGTACTGCAGGGCCCTGAGGGTAACTGGCATTACAGAAGCTTCACAGATACCAGAAGCACTACAGCCCTGCACGGGACACTTGACCAAAGCACAGATGTTGGGCTGAGTCTAATGTGCCCCAGGACCTGACAGTAGGTATGGCTAGAAAAGGAGGGATGTGGTGGCCACTCCTGATACTGCTTGTGTCCGACTGAAAGGCAGCAGGTGAGTGGGGGTGACAGTCTGGCCCTGATCTTCCTAGGAGAGCAGGGCTGAGACTAAGCTAACCTCCCCCTTGCAAAATCAAGCACCACTAGGCACAGGCAAGGCCAAGCCCTGGGATTGCAGGGTTCATGGGTGGTTCCTGGGGTTTGCAACATATCAGACCTTTCAGCAGTCCTCAAGGCCCCCACAAGCTCAAATGCTGCTCCCAGCTTGTGGACCAATCATTTTGCTGTAGGTCTTTAAGAAGCCACTCTACTGCCCTCATATTTTGGCCCTGGAAAGGATAGGGGCTTCACCTACCCACCTCCACTAGGAGAAAGTTCTGTCAGAGATCCTTGGGAAGCAGAGAGTGGAGGCTGCCTGTGGTTTCCTAACAGCTCGCACATCTGGGCAAAACTAAAAATACGCTGAGTCCTGAAGTCCTGCACATTCTGAATGGCTTCAAGCCACGAAAAGGACTTCCCAGGCCTCAGAGCTGCTTAGACTGCACCAACCCAACACAGTGCTCCTTGCTGCAGTGATAGGGGGGAGTGGGGAAAGTCTTCCTGCTGTGGGTCACTGAATGCTAAGATCTACAGCATCCCACCCTCCCCTAGAGGTGCCACAGGGCCCAGTGGTACCTGGATGTTCACCTGTTTTTGATCTGATTCTGTAAGGTAGCAGTTCCAGTACAAAGAGGAGTACAGGGGAGCAGTGAGCACTTCCTGTGCCCTGAGCAAAGGCAGACATGGGCAGCAGAGTTGGACACGAGGCACAGAAGATACTCTGAGCAGGAGGCTTTTCAGGTTCTTTATTGAAGAGCCTCATAGTGAGTCCAGGGGAACTCATGCTTAACAGTCAGCAGGGCAGGAGCCAAAGCCAGCCCCCCTGGGCAGCAGAGCCCAGGCCTCCAGTTCCATAAAGAGATCCAGGACAAAAATTGATTGCAGAAAGGCAGTATTAAAAAAACTCAGGCCAGGCACGCAGCTGGCACCACCACCAAAGCCTCACTCTCTTCTACTGCCCCAGGGCTGAGACAGGGCAAGGGGCTGAGAGTTCCCTCACATTGGCCAGTAGAGCATGCTAGCAGGGAGCTCAGATGTCCATCTTAAACTGCTCTTCCTCTGTGGGAGGGGAGACAAGGGCTGGTTAGCATAAGGCTGGGCCTGCATACTCAGTGCTCCCACCTCGAAGGGGATGAAGTCAGTCAAAGAGGCAGATAGAGGGGTTGGGCTCTCTGTGGTGAATGCTGGGGTGCCTGTGGAAGGAGCCCCTGCAGGCCCCTAACCCCTCCCCCCGCCTCTCAGCGATGGCTGAGGTGCTGGTATTGGGCTGACTGCTAGCACAGGCTCTGTGCTGATGTGGCTTCCAGCACAGTGCTCACTCCAGAGCAGCCCCTGCAGAAGGCACGTGGAGGGAGCCTCAGCTTGTGTCCAGTGGCACAGAAAGCCTCCTTTAGTTCAGACCACACTTGCTCCAGCCACAACAGAACAGAAGGGGCTTTTTGACACAGAAAAGAATGAGCAGAAGTACAGAGAGAGAGAGAGAGAGAGAGAGAGAGAGAGAGAGAGA